CCTATCAATAATTATGCTGAATATAAATGGAATAAATGCACCAATAAAGAGACAGAGAGTGGCAGATTGGATAAAAAAAACTCGATCCGTCTATATGCTGCCTACAAGAGACACACCTTAGACTTAAAGACACAAACAAAAACTCAAAGGATGGAAAAAAAATATATCAAGCAAACAACACTCAAATAAGAGCAGGAATGGCAATACTAACCTCTGACAAAATAGACTTTAAAGTAAAATCCAAAACAAAGAATAAGGAAGAACACTATATAATGATTAAATGATCAATACACCAGGAGGACATAAGTATAATAAATACTTATACACCCAATGACACGCCTCCAAAATACACAAACTCTAACAACACTGAAAAGAAATATAGACAGCTGCACGATAGTAGTAGCCGACTTCAACACAACACTTTTGGTGAAGGACAGAACATCCAGAAAGAAGCTCAATAAAGACATGGAAGAGCTAAATGTTGCAATCAACCTACTTGATCTCATAGACATATACCGAACACTCCACCCAACAGCAGCCAAGTATACTTTCTTTTCCAGTGCACATGGAAAATTCTCCAGAATATATCACATATTAGGCCGTAAAGCAAGCCTTAACAGAATCCAGAACATCGAACTATTACAAAGCATCTTTTTAAAACATAAAGCCATTAAAGTAGAAATCAAAAACAGAAAAAGCAAGGGAAAAAATCAAACACATGAAAATTGAAGAATGCCTTGCTCAAAAACTACTGGGTTATAGAAGACATTGAGGCTGGAATAAAGAAATTCATAGAATCAAACAAAAGTTAAAACACATCCTACCAGAACCCTTGGAACACAGCAAAAGCAGTCCTCTGTGGTCAGTTTATAGAAATAAATGCACACATCCAAAAAGAAGAAAGGGTCATAATCAAACGTTAACCCTACTACTGCAACAAATAGAAAAAGAGAAGCAAAAGAAGTCCACAGACGCCAGAGGAAAGGAAATAATAAGAATTAGAACAGAATTAAATGAAATAGAGAATAGAAAAACAATTGAAAGAGTTAACAAGACCAAAAGGTGATTCTTTGAAAAGATCAACAAAATTGATAAACCATTGGCCAAAGTGACAAAAGAAAAACAAGAGAGGAAAGAGATAACCCATATAAGAAATGAGATGGGTGATATCACAACAGACACAAATGAAATTAAAAGAATCATAACAGAATACCATCAAAAACTGTACTCTTATATATCTGAAAACCTTGAGGAAATGGAGAAATTTCTAGAATCTCACTACCTACCTGAACTAACACAGAGTTAGAACAACTAAATAAACTATAACAAAAGAAGAGATTGAAAAGATAATTTAAAAATTCCAAACAAAAAAATCCCTAGCTGGGATGGCTTCACTGGAGAATTCTACCAAACTTTCAGAGAAGAGTTTACATCACTGCTACTAAAGGTATTTCAGAGCTTAGAAAAGGACGGAATACTCACAAAATGATTCTATGAAGCCAGCATAAACTTGTTACCAAAACCAGGTATAGACACCACAAAAAAGAAAATTACAGACCAATATCCCTCATGAACATTGATGCAAAAATCCTCTACAAAATTCTAGCCAATATAATTCAGCAACATATCAAAAAAATAATTCACTATGATCAAATGGGATTTATACCAGGTATGCAGGGTTGGAACACAATATTAGAAAAAAGATCAATGTAATCCATCATATTAATAAAAAACAAGAACCAGATAATCTTATCCATGCAGAAAAGGCATTCAACAAAGTCCAACACCCATTCATGATAAAAACTCTCAACAAAATAGGAATAGAAGGGAAATTCCTCTACATAATTAAGGGCATTTATACAAAGCCAACAGCCAACATCATTACAAATGGAGATACTTTCAAAGCATTCCCCTTGAGAACGGGAACCACACAAGGATGCCCTCTATCACCGCTCTTATTCAACATTGTGCTGGAGGTTCTAGCCAGAGCAATTAAGCTAGAAAAAGAAATAAAGGACATCCAAATTTGTATGGAAGAAGTCAAAGTGTCTCAATTTGCAGATGCTATGATCTTATACACCGAAAACCCCAAAGAATACACAAGAAAACTACTGGAAGTAATAGAAGATTTCAGCAGTTTCAGGATACAAGATAAACATACGAAAATCAGGTGGATTCCTCTACCCCAACAAAGAGAATCTAGAAGAGGAAATCACCGAATCAATACCATTGACAATAGCCCCCAAAAAGATAAAATACTTAGGAATAAATCTAACCAGAGACATAGGAGACCTGTACAATGAAAACTAAAAGATACTACTGCAAGAAAACAAAGGAGACCTGCATAAGTGGAAAAACATACCTTGCTCATGGATAGGTAGACTCAAAATTGCAAAAATGTCAATTATACCCAAAGCAGTTTACAGATACTATGCAATCCCAATCTAAATTCCACCAGCATTTTTTAATGAGATGGAGAAACAAATCACCAACTTCATAAGGAAAGGGCAGAAGCCCCAAATATATAAAGCATTACTCAAGAAGAAGAACAAAGTGGAAGGCCTCACACTACCTGATTTTAGAGTCTATTATACCTCCATGGTAGTGAAAACAGCCTGGTACTGGTACAACAGATACATAGACCAATGGAACAGAATTGGGAATCCATACATAAATTCATCCACCTACATGCAGCTGAAATTTGACAAAGTCCCAAAGTGCGTAAATTGGGGAAAAGATAGTCTCTTTAACAAATGGTGCTGGCATAACTGGATATCCATCTGCAAAAAACTGAAACAAGACCCATACTTAATATCATGCACAAAAACTAACTCAAACTGGATCAAAGAAATATAAAATCGAAAATGATAAAGATCATGGAAGAAAAAATAGGGTCAACGCTAGAAGCCCTAATACATGGCATAAACATAATACGAACCATAAGTAACAATGTACCAGCACTAGAAGAGAGACCAGTTAAATGGGAGGTCCTGAAAATCAAACACTTAACGCTTATCAAAAGACTTCACCAAGAGAGGAAAAAGACAACCTATAGACTGGGAAAAAAATTTTGGCCACGACAAATCCGATCAGAGTCTAATCTCTAAAATCTACAAGATACTGCAAAACCTCAACAACAAAAAGACAAATAACCCAATTAAAAAATGAGCATGGATATGAACATGCACTTTTCCAAAGAAGATATTCATGCAGCTAACAGACACATGACGAAATGCTCATGATCATTAGCCATTAGAGAAATGCAGATCAAAACTACAATGAGATATGTTCTCACCCCAGTGAGGTTAGCATTAATCCAAAAAATACAAAACAATAAATGCTGCAGAGGTTGTGGAGAGACTAGAACACTTACACACTGTTGGTGGTAATGTAAAATGGTACAATCACTTTGGAAATTGATTTGGCGCTTCCTTAAAAAACTAGAAATAGAAGTATCATACGATCCAGCTATCAAGCTCCTTGGAATATATCCTAGAGAAATAAGAGCCAACACAAGAATAGATATATGCACACCTATGTTCACTGGAGAACTGTTCACAATAGCAAAACATCGAAACAACCTAGGTGCCCATCAACAGATGAATGGATAAACAAATTATGGTATATCCACACAATGGAATACTACGCAAAGGTAAACAACAACTATGAAGCCATGAAATATAACATGGAGGAAGCTAGAGGTCAGTATGCCGAGTGAATTTAGCCAGTCACAGACGGACAAATATTGTGTAAGACCACTATTATAAGAACTCAAGAAAAGATTTAAACACAGAAGAAAACATTCTTTGGTGGTTACCAGGGTGGGGAGGGAGGGTGAGGGTTATTTACTAATTAGATAGTAGATAAGAATTATCTTAGGTGAAGGGAAGGACAGCACTCACTACAGGGGAAGTCAGCACAACTGGACTAAACAAAAGCTAAGAAGTTTCCTGAATACAAACACTTTGAGGGACAGAGTAGCAGGGGTAGGAGTCTGGGGACCATGCTTTCAGGGAACATCTAGGTCAATTGTCATAACAAAGCTTATTAAGAAAATGTTCTGCATCCTACTTTGATGAGTGGCGTCTGGGGTCTTAAAAGCTTGTAAGCGGCCATCTAAGATGCATCAATTGCTCCCAACCACCTGGAGTAAAGGAGAATGAAGAACACCAAAGACACAAGGAAAGTATTAGTCCAAGAGTCAGAAAGGGCCACATAAACCCGAGACTTCATCAGCCTGAGACCAGAAGAACTAGATGGTGCTGGACTACCACCAATGACTGCCCTGACAGGGAACACAACAGAGAGTTCCTGATGGAGCAGGAGAAAGGTGGGGTGCAGAACTCAAATTCTACTAAGAAGACCAGACTTAATGGTCTGACTGAGACTGGTGGTATCCTGGAAAGCATGGCCCCTGTATTCTCTATCAGCCCAGAACGAAAACAATTTCTGAGGGCCAACTCTTCAGACAGGGATTGGACTGGACTGTGGGACATAAAGTGATACTCGTGAGGAGTGTGCCTCTTAACTCAAGTAGATAGAAGAGACTAAATGGGCAGCTTCTGTCCAGAGGTGAGAATGGAAGGCAGAGTGGGTTAGGAGTGGTTTGAATGGACATGGGAAATCAGGGGTGGAAAGGAGGAGTGTGTTGTTGCAGTATGGCTAGAGCTATTAGAGTCACATAACAATGTATATATAAATTTTTGTATGGGAAAAAAAATAAAAATCAGAACTCATGCACATGAACTCACCGACTCAGATCTGTCCCAGGAAAGTACTGAGAGAAATGCGAATGAAGTAGAGGAATCAGTCTGAGGTCACACCATCGCTTTTCCCATCTCAGGCCTGATGATGTTGGCCATGAGGAACATGATAATGTGTCCTAAAGTAAATACAAACATTCAGAATCACTTTTTCCTTCTGTGTTTTGGGTTTCTATGTCTTTTTCTATTTTTTTTTCCTAAATGATTAAAAGACCATACTTATTACACTAAAATTGTAGTTGTTAACTTCTTGATTAGTGGAGTTCTCAAAGTATGTGAGGAAGTAACCAATGAGATCAAGAATGATGATGAAAGCAATATGAGGGGAGGGAAAGGAGAAAACAATAATTGTGTGACAGAACTGAATTAATTTAACAGAAAAGATGAAGCAAAACTAACTGTAACCTCAATGAACTAATAATTGACAAAAATAGAAATAAGCCTTAGTTCATTCAATAGGCAATAATTTTTTAGTACCTTCTAAGTGCCAAGCATTGTTATCAGTTACTTCTAAATATTTTTTGACTAGAGTGAACATTCTTATAAAAACAACTTTCAAAAAAACTACTCAAGGAAATCTTTGTCCATTGTTTTAACTTCATGTATATAAAATGTTTTATATTGTTTTAATGTCATGGTTAGAACATGGTTATTTATCTGAAATATGCCAATCAGTATGGTTTAGTATTTACAATTATTGTAAATTAGAAGAGTATAATACACATGTGTAGCTTTTGAAAACTATGTGATTAAAACATTCTATTTTTGTTAACATATTGACTCATTTCTAGCATGAATACTGATTTATATTTTGAATTATACATAATGTTTTAAGGTCTATACAGTTACTTCTCTAATTTTCTAGGAGATTAAATTATTACAACAAACACTAAATTCTACATGGGCAAGTGAAATAATTTACTTCTGAGTTTGTTGCAGAAATTGTAAACTCATTTTCTCTCCACAGCCAATAAGGCATTTAAATCTGTTACATGGTTTAATGTAATTCAACCCAAAAGTGCAGGACCTTACAATGTCACTGAACTGTGCATGTAGAAATTTCTGAAATGGTGTGTTTTCAGCTATATGTATTTTCACCAAAAAAAGGTTGAGAAGTTAGAGGGTTAACATGTTGTGGGGTTGTTAACCAATGTCATAAAACAATATGTGTACTATGTTTAATGAGAACCTATTTGTTCTGTAAGCCTTCACCTGAAGTACAATAAAAAAAAAAGAAAGAAAAAAAAAAGAAACACAAAAGTGCAGGACCTTAGAAGAACCTAGGATTTACACTGCCAAAAGAAATTCAAATTCATTTCCTAAAAATCATTCTTTTGTCCCAAACAATATCCTCTGTAGTTCCAGTGCTGGGGATCCGTCTGTCCATGATCACTCTGAAGTATTTTAAATTTCATTAGAAGGTTTTTCCTTGTATATAGAAGACACATATATTTGAGTAAAAATTGAACTTTGACTTGATGTTGACTCATACTTCTTTCATTATTTCAGCAGCACTGTTGAAATTTCTCTGTGTCTCCAGGATGTCAAATAACGTTAATATTTAATTTGCCGTGGGTTGTAAGTGGGTCAAGTCTCAATTTCATCAGGGAACTGTTGACATTGATTTCTCTCCAGTCACTGATTTTTGAGTGATGATGTTAGGAGGCACTACTTTACTTTGAATGTTGAACCTCTATTAGTGTACACATTATTAAACATTAATCTGTTCGAAATTGCTTAAAAAAACATTATTTTTACAAAAGATTGAGTGTTCTTTGACATTATCCTGTTAATTGTCACAGATTGTGCATGTCAGTGTGGACTAAATCCTTAGAGCACTTTAAAAGTGCTGAAAGAGTTGATTGGCTCCTGTGACTCAGTGTCGACACCCTGTTGCTGAGACTTCACTGAGAGAGCCTTGGTCTCTAAGATGTCCGTCCTCTGGGTATGAGACAATTGCTTATACCATCTATCTGGTGATAGCAAAGGCACACACCTAGACCCATGTTAATCTTTCTCGTGTCCTCCGTGTTGGATGCTATGCTGGTTGGAATATGACACAGTGTTGGTTGGGAAAGAGTACAACAGAGATTGTGAGGGCCCAGGCTCAGAATCAGACTGCGTCCTGTCCCTGACTACTCCTTTAACCCCGGACCACTTATTTAAACCCTCTGTGCCTTATTTTTCCTGTCTCAAAACTGGGGATAATAATATTAACTACCAGTAAGATTATAGTACGTAATAAATAAACAAGTTCTTAGAGCAGAGTCTAGAATTGAACGTCTTGCTAGTTTCACTTTCTTTAATGGCTAACGGAAATTGTACATTTACTCATAACAGCAGGATGATTGAAACACTAATTGTGCCTGTCAGTAAAAAATGATGAGGAAAGTACTTTCTAAAAAATAATAATAAGCTTGAATAGTGGACAAAATTATTGGAAACACAGAACTTCTAGTAAGAACACCCTTACTAATACTACTATGGAGACAGCAATTAGTAATACTAATTAGCTAAATTAAGTACTTTACACGCATTACCTAAATTCTTTACACCATCTTTGATGTAACTAAGCCCCTCTCTGCATGCAGCTGAGACCTACTCTTGGGATACAGTGCACAAAGGCACTGCTGAGAGTTCTACAGCAGTTAACTTAAGCCATCCAGACAGTCAGTGATAAAGCCAGAATTCTTAATTTCAGAGCAAAAGCATCTATTACAACACACTTAACATTCATAATCAGAAATAAAACAATGGAAAAACTAATTCAGATCTTCTATCTTGATTATTTTCTCTGTGTAACTTTTATTTATTTTAATTTTTTTTATTGTACTTTAGATGGAGGTTTACAAAACAGTTTCTCATTAAACAGTCTGTACAAATATTGTTTTATGACATTGGTTAAGAACCCCACCACAGCATGTCAACACTCTACCTTCGAGATCTTGGAGGATGCTTTTTTTGGGGAAAATATACAGGGCCAAAGTTACACCATTTCAAAAGTTTCTACATGTGTAATTCAGTGACATCAATCACATTCTTCCAATTGCACTGCTATTCCCACTATCGTTTTCCAAATTACTCCATCACCATTATCTTCAACGCATTGCCCCTTAGGCTTCCCATCAAACCTTTTCAGTTGCTCTTGTCAATTTGATCTCACATAGATTTTTTTTTTTTTTTTTTGGACCTTAGATGAAGGTTTACTGAACAAATAGTTTCTCATTAAACAGTTAATACACATAATGCCCTATGACAATGGTTAACAACCCCACAACATGTCATCCTTGTCCCTTCTCAACCTTGGGTTCTCTATCACCAGCTTCCCTATCCCTCCTGCCTTCTAGTCCTTGTCCCTGGACTGCTGTGCCTCGTTAGTCCTGTTTTGTTTTATGAAGCTCAACAATTCCCTGCTGAACGGTGAACTTTGGGAGTAACTTCACCATTGAGCTAAAAGGGTATCCAGGGGCCATACTTTCGTGGTTTCTCCAGTCTCTGTCAGGGCAGTAAATCTGGTCTTATTTTGTGAGTTAAAATTTTGTTCTACATCCTTTTCCAGCTCTGTCCAGAATCTCTATTGTGATCCCTGTTAGAGCAGTCAGTGGTGGCACCATCTAGCTGTACTGGACTCAGTCTGGTGGAGGCCTTGGTAGCTGTGGACAATTAGTCCTTTGAACTAATCTTTTCCTTGTATCCTGTTCTATTCATTCTCCCTTGCTCCCAGAGGGATGAGACCAGTGGAGTATCTTAGATGGCTGCTCACAGGCTTTTAAGACGCCAGATGCTACTCACTAAGGTAGAATGTAAAATATTGCCTTTATAAAGGGTGTTATGCCAGTTGAGCTAGATGTTCCCTGAGACCATGGTCCCCACAGCCCTCTGCCCAGCAATTCAGTCCCTCAGGGAGTTTGGATGTGTCTATGGAGCTTCCATGACCTTTCCTTGTACAAGTTGTGCTGTATTCCCCAGTATTGTTTACTGTCTTACCCTTCACCAAAGTTACCAATTATCTATTGTCTATTTAGTTCTACCCCACCCCTCCCATCCCTCGTAACTAAGAAAGATTGTTTCTTTTTGTGTGTAAACTTTTACGTGAGTTTTTACAGTAGAGGTTTCATACAATATTTGTCATTTTGTGATTGACTTAGTTCACTTAGCATAATGTCCTCCAGTTTCATCCCTGTTATGAGATGCTCCACAGATTCATCATTGTTCTTTATCATTGCATAATACTCCATTGTGTGTATGTACCATAGTTTGTTTATCCATTCATCTGTTAATGGGCATCAAGGTTGTTTCCATCTTTTTGCTATTGTGAACAGTGCTGCAATGAATATGGGTGTGCATATGTCTGTTCGTGTGACAGCTTATTTCTCTAGGATATATTCCTAGGAGTTGGATTGCATTTTGTAGTGCTTTTTCTTTCTGGTGCTGATGTTTTCTTTGTTCCTCTTACTCTCTTGTGCAGAGTTCCTTTGTTTGTGTTTTTTCTTTTATTTCATTATTATAGATTTTGTGTTTACCGAGGAGACTTTATGTTTTTCTTCTTTATTTTGATGAGTAGGTTTGTTAACCTTCTTTGTGGTTCCCTTGAAATTTACCCTCATCTTCCTAGTTTTGAACCAGTCTATTATTACTTCGAATCACCTTGCCTTCCTGTCCATTAGAAGATTCTATACCTACAACGTTTATTCCCTCTTTTATTGTTCTGATGTTATTGTCATTTAGAGATTAACCTCTCTGATTCCCTGTTGTAATTCTTTTGGTTTTGCACAGTCCTTAAGAGTTCATTTCCTAGGTTGGTATCTGGCTAGTACAATCTAGTGTCTTGTATTCAGCCTGTGGTCTGATGTTTATTCTCAGATTGGAGGACTCCTTTTTTAAGTCTTGTAAGTTCTGTTCGGTTTTTACATAGCCCCTTAATTTCTGTTTTTCTGGAAATGACTTAATTTCACCATCATATTTAAAAGAGAGTTTTCCAGGATATATTATTCTTTTTTTTTTTTTATTGTTGTAGTTAAATGAAGTGTACATTTCAAGTTAGTCTCCCATACAAAATTTTATAAATACATTGTTATGTGACCCTAATTGCTCACCCCATCCTGTGACAGGACACTTC